AAATACTCATTTCCAGCAGTGAGGAAAACACACTCCTGTTCACACACTCAAAAGATCAGTTAACATTCAGAAACCTACTAAGATTTTCACAATACAATCTATGAACAACACATTAACATCAGACAGGAGCAAGCTGGCTTCTTCTTTAGGTGTTACACTGTATGTTCAGAGGTAAATGTTTCTTCTCACGTAGAACAGATTCACTGAACTGCAACTGAAATTTCAAGAGCACAAAACTGCTGTACCAGATGCAGTAACGTGACACAGGGATTTCAGAAGCTGAAATGAAGTTCCACCTCATTCATACCTGCTCCCTTACAACAGCTCAATCATCCCATTCAACTGCTCCAATAGATGTGTTTGGAGCTGTACTGTCAACTACAGCACTGAAAGCATCCTTGTTAAAAATAACTCTTTTCTGGAAATTCTGAAGCTCTGCTCTTTTCAGCTGTCTGCTTTCCAGGCTGACCTCCAACACAGAGCTGTATTCACAGGAAAAGGCCACTGGGGTGGCAACTCTTAAACCCATTTTAACACAGACATCAAAATGCTCAGAGGTGATGTTACACAATCAGGTTAAAGAGCAAACTTTCTCCTCTGGTCTTGGTGGGCAGAGGGAAACAAAACCAACTATAGTCCCACCTCCCTTCAACAGATCAGGAAATGAGTTGGGACAGTAGCAAATTATCATAACTGGATTTCTCTTAATTTATTTTTTCAGAAGCAGTTTTAAGGTAACCTGTTACATTAGCTTTCTTTAAAGGAAACTTCCTTTGGCATTTTATGTGGGAATGGTGCTCTATTACATAGATATACTAGTGACTATTTATACTCAATTTTTACATGCATTACTGTCTGTCTGTAAGTTGAACAGCTGGCAGTCCAGACACTAGCACAGAGTCCTTGGCTGCAAACATGGGCCAACTTCAACTCCTTTGTTAAACTGAAAATTTAAGCAAGAGCAAGACCTTTTGCGATGGAAAATGCTGCACTGCTACAGAAGTAGCAGGAAGCTTTTGCTCAAACCATAGCTCACCCCAAGCTATGTTCTGTCAGTGTGTTTACTGCCTTACCTTCCTCATTATCCCCTTCTTCCTCTGCCTGTTGCTTGGCCAGCTTCCTTGCTTGCTGTTCAAACCACTGCAGCCGTGGAGGAATTTCTGGTCGTTCTCTGCTCTGGGACAAGCTGGCACTTTCCCTGGACACTGGAGAGCCACTTGCATTACTGGGAGGCACAGGGGTCTTCTTTGGAGATGAGGATGGCTGGGCTCTGATGGCCTGCTGAATAGCTGTGTTCATTTCATCCTTGTTCACACTCTCTGGGGCCAGCCCCTTCTCCAGATTCTTCTCATTTAATATTTTCACCTTCTTGCTGACAGCTTGCACAGCTTTCTTCTCCAGCTCCAGGTGCTTCTTGGACTTGAGGTGATTCTCATAGGCATTGAAGGTGGAGAACCTCTTGCTGCACACTGTGCAGTAAGTGGCAGTGATTTTGTTCTGCTCCTCTGCTACTACCCTCTGTGCCAGGACTCTCTCCTGGAAATTCTCAGCAGTGACAGGAGGCATGTCAGCAACTTTACGCTTCAGGTTGTACCTGTGCCAGTCAGTTTTGTAATGGGCACGCTGAATGTCACCATCCTTGAAAGCCACACGGCAAGTGATGCAAGTGTAGGTGGCCATTACTAGAAAATGGCAAAAAAATAAAATTATGTTTTAAAAATTAAGTAACAGACACAAAAAAGCCCCAACACCTTCATCCTGACAACCTTCTCCTAGGGCAGTGTTAGACACACAGTTCTTGCACAGAATTAAATTTATTAAACATCAGCATCAGCAATGAGTGCAGTATTCACAGGCAGCAGCAAGAGAGGAAACTTATAAATAAAAGACTTTGAGTTTACTTGTAGCACAACAGCAGCAGAGCATCCCAGCTCTGGATGCAGAACCTGCTGTGCCTGTTGGGATTGGGAGGCATGAGAGGGCCCCCAGTCACAGCAACAGTATTTCAGAAGCTCCATGCTCTTCACTGAAGATCAGTGACTGGAGGTTCTGAACAAGCTCATCTTCTGCCAACTGTAAGACTTTGGGGAGACCAGTGATTCCTCAGAAACAAGGGGGAAAAGGGAAAACCTGCTTACAGGCCTATTTTGTATCTTCCACAGCCTTAATAAAGGGCAAAGGAAAAAAAAAGTTACTGCCTTTACAAATAAAGCCTTCTTAGCTACTTTGGAGCAGCATGTGCAGTGCTGACAACACTTTACCCTGCAGAGCTGTTCATCTGGAGATGCAGTCAGTCATGCCTAGATCTAGCACTCCTGGTCTCCCTTTATTTCCCACCATCCAGCTAACCCATGTTACTAGGGCTGGGACAGGACAACTGCAGAGCAGTGACCTCCCACTCATGCTGTCCTTTCCAAATCCATACATCTCCTTCCTTCTCAGTGCTTAACAAAACTTTGATTTCTTTTTTTTTAAACAAAGTTGATTGAATCTCTTGAATGCTGAAAAAAGCAAAGAGCAAAAAAAAGTGTTATCTAGTGATCACAGAAAGGAGCCTCATTGTTTAACTGATTTAGAAAAACTATGGTTAATCTGGAGAAAAAAGGAAATAATACATCAGGATGAGGGGGTCTGAAAGCAGGGAGAGGAAGAGCAGCCCCTCCGTGAAGCTACGAACAGGGAGAAGCAGTGGTAGAAGTCAAAACACGTTATGAAATGATCATTCCCTGGAACCAGTGGGATCCTTATTTATTACTGTTTGTGCTATGTACAGTGTGATAATGACAGGGGGGATGCAGCAAATGAAGGCCATATCATCTGGAGTACTATAAGCATCCACTCAGTATAACAGAAGCTTTTCTTTTTGTGTTTCAGAGAAAAACGTGTTCTCAGGATCCACTGAGAATTCCCTGAGGCATTCCCCTGCCACCTGCAGCGCTCCCTGCCCTTCTGCCCACCCAGGCACCAACCTTTGCCATAAATCACTGACTCAGAGCCACAAACACTGACTCAGAGCCACGCTGGCTGTAAGTGACACGCAGCTGGCAGCACCCTGAGGCAGAACGCTCTGTTCTGGTCCAGGACGAACAGACAGAAGCTACACACTACATTACCACGGGGGCATTTAAAACACCCAGCCTCCTCCCGCTCCAACCCACCCAAAATAAAGGAGCTCAGAAGAAGAGGTTTGTAACTAAGAGAAGCTAAAGCCATAAACCTTCACCTCTGACACACACATGGAGACGCGTTCACAACACAAGCTGCACAAGACAGAGAAATCCCGTGTAGTTGCACAGCGCCCTCCTACAACCCGCCTGCATTTCCCTCCCGTTTTAAGCCCCAGGACCGAAGTCCCGACTCCTACCTTGTGTGGGGCGCAGGAAAACCAAACCCCGGGCACTCGCAGCTCAGCCGAGCCCTTCCCGACAAACCGCGATCTCCCCCGAGGCTCCTGAGTACGGCTGAGTTTCAGCTGCCTTTGGCGGGAATTAAACTGAGCCCGTGTCCCTGATCCTGGCACAAGGCGGCCGTTTATTGCACGGACAACAAAAATTCGGGCAAAACCTAGAGATAGATAAGTAATAATAAAAAATAAACCCAGAAACCAAAAAAACCCCAAGAGATAAGGCGGGGCGCAGGCGGCAGCCGGAAGCCACCAGGCCAGGCGTGGAGCAGGCCGGGATCACAGGGAGCCGGCATCCCAAGGGAGCGCATCCGGCTCGGCCGGGCCACGCCGCCTGCCCACTGCCCCCGCTATCCTCGCTGGCTCGGGCTGGACTGGGCCGAGCCGGTCCATCCAATTCAATTCCATTCCATCCCGTCCCGTCCCGTCCGGTCCCCCATTCCCGGGACACGCACCTGCGGCCGGCGGAGCGGGCGGTGCCGGGCGCGGGGCGGGGCGCGCGGGCAGGAAGCGGCCGGGCGGTGTCCGGCGGGAGCGGCCGCGCACGCCCCCTGGCGGCCGGAGGGCGCGGGGCACGGGCGGCGCCCGGAAAGGACCCGGCGGGAGCGGCGGTGGCGGGAGCGGCGCCTCACGGGCCGTGCCCGCCCGGATGTGGCTGTGTTCGCCTTCGGTTGTGTGAAAAATGCATGTATTTTATGACAGGCTTTTCGCAAATATTAAAATTAATATTATATGTGTTGTGTTAGAAAGTACTGCTGTATTAATTCTCTTAAGTAGTATGTTAAATACCGCTTTAGGTTATAAAAACTGTTAAAATAGAAACTATGCTATGTAGGATTTTTTTTAAAGAAGGGACTTGCAGCAAGATAGCAGCCACAGGACACCTAAATCTTTCAGAGAAAAAGAATTTATTGCTCTCTTATCAGAAGAAACAAACTTCTTCCCGCCTCGAAGATGCTGTCAGGATTCAGAGGAAGAAGTTGGCGATGACCAGACAGAATCCTGTGTTTGAATGGAGTTTATGCATCATGTATGAGGTGTATGAATATGCAACAGGTTGTTGTTTTTAAGGGTTAATCCTTTGTTAACAGGTGTCCTTTTTCGGGCTCATGCCGCCCAGAAAAAGGTACCCGGACATCCATAACTCTTTGTATTTGTTGTCTCATATTGTCCTAATTTAATTTGTCCAAATTATTATTACTCTAATTGTATTACTATTTTTATAAGCATTTTATTATTATTAAACTTTTAACATTTTAAAAACAAGTGATTGGCGTTTTTCACAGGTTGGTTTGGTTTGGTTTTGGCTTGTTTCTTTTTGTTTTGTTTGTTTGATTGTTTTCACAGAATCGGTTAGGTTGGAGAAGATGTCTCTGATCATGGAGTCCAAGCTATGGCCAAACAGCGCCGTGTCAACTAATGTCACTCTTGCGCCGAGAATGGCACAGAACAGGCGGGAGGCGGTATTGTAGAAAGAGCAAAAGGAAAGCTTTATTCAAGAGAGCTGTGTGGTTTTTATAGAGTGATACGATAGATTCTATTTGATTGGCTAACTAACAAAAACACCTTCCTCATACACCGTCCTTGAGAAGAACAGAAAGACAAAGTGGAAAAACACCACCTGCAGATTGTTTATACTTAACAAATTATCACAAGAATTCTCACAAGCTGCTGTGAGAAACACTAGCCATTTCTCTCTCTCTGTCCCATGGCATCCACAAACTAGACCATGGCACTAAGTACCATGCCCAGTCCTTCCTGAAACATCTCCAGGGACGGTGACACCGCCACTCCCTGGGCAGCCCATCCCAGTACCTTATCACCCTTTCCATGAAGAAATTCTTCCCGATGTCCAACCTAAACCTCCCCGGTTGCAGCTTATGACTGTCTTTTGTCCTGTCACTGGGCACCTGGGGGAAAAGGCCGAGCCCCACCTGGCTAGAACCTCCTTTCATGTAGTTGCAGAGAGTGATAAGGTCACCCCGTTTGTTATTATAGGGTTTATTTCCATTTCTTGGAGCAAAGACACAATGAGATGATTTAAGATAAAAACTAACACATATTTATTAAAACAATCAATATAATAGTTCCATGTTTACAAAACAGTGATCAGGCAGGTAAAGTGCTGCAGAATACTTAAATACGGACATTTTGTAATTCTCCAGTTTCTGGTTGCCTAGGTGGGGGTTACTCACAGACTGCAACGCCGCTCATGTGCTGAGAACAGACGTGGAGACTACAGGGATTTATTTGTTCAGAAGGCTGGGACAGCCTGGAAAAAGTGCAGAACAAACACAGAACAAGTAGAACGAGTATCTCTTCAGATCCACTTACTTCGGGTTACAATTATTTAACCTCCTCTGCATAGAATAGGTTTTTTTTCCACTAAAATACAGAAGAATGGTCAGTAGGTGTGTGGTACGTACGCATGGAAACCCTATGTGCTGGGAACGGGTGGTTTTGCACTGGATTTGACACACCAAAGGCCACCAATCCGTTGGTGATCCTGTCACTCATGTACTGACACAAGGGGAAATTTTCTGAGTACAAAAGAGTGACCTGCATCCCTGCCCTGACATGTGTCCTTTTCTTAAATCAGGATGCGTGAAGAAGCCACTGCAAGGCACAGGAGGGTGAGCCCTTTGCTGCCAGGTATGAGCACACACACACACAACACAAGCAGCACCTATCCCAGGGCAGGATCACACACTCTTACCCCATGGCACTGGCTCACACTATGCCCTCTATGCTACCTGTGTGCCTTTTGACTGGAAATCACAGGCAAGGAAGCTTTCCATGGAAAAACTGTATGTTTCAAAGCTATGTATTGCCCCCTTGCCTGTCTTCCTGCCCAGGCATTCCATTTGAAGGATGGGAAGGTGACAACAGCGCTCGCTAGGAAAGATGCTGAAGAACCATTGTGACAGGAATTTTTGAGGAATTGCTATTTCTTGGCTGCTGCTATAATACAGCCAAATGTAGTTTTCTCAAGGGATTTCCAGCTGAGGGCAGTGCGGAGAGGATCCACAAAGGAGAGAAACATTTTCTTTGTGTTTTGCTGGCGGACTGCTGGGAGTGGAATGTATTGTGTCCACGCAAATGCTTCTTGCATGTGGTTGTGTGGAAGGGAAGAGATAGTTTTTTGCAGAAAATCAGACATCTTTTTACTACCTGAGGAAGAATATTCAATGTTACAGAATTACATCCTTCCCATTACACAGTATTTAGGGGCTTGAATGTAATTGACTATCATGACAGCAGAAAAAAATTCTGAAGACTCTCAGATAAGCAACTATGTCTCTAACTTTAATGATTTACTTGTTCAAGTTTTGGTTGGTTTTTTCTTTCTGAAAAAAAAAAAAGAATGAGAGTCTTACTGGAGAAAAATCAGTGTATTTACCTATCTTGAAACCAGAAAATGGGTAATTTACAAAAAGTCTGAGAAACTCATCCAACTGCTTTTCTTTCTGATCTAATCTATTATTCTAGAAGAGTGCCCCTGTGTTACATACTCTCATAACCACAAGTATTTTCCATAAAACAACAATAAAGTGCATGCTGTTACAATGCCACCATTGATAGCCAGCTAGCCTGTCCTGCCAATCTGCTCCAGAAAAGCCTGTGAAGCACTGCTCCCTCCCTGCCACCTCTCCTGTCCCACAGCCTGTTTCCCCTTCTGGCACCAGTAGCCCTGGACAAGGGAGCACACCGTTGTTTGGGCATCCTACAAAGCTTCATCAGCAACTTGGATTAGTACTCTTTTAACTCTACAGATTGTCCTAAATGTGTGGCAAGAAAATGAGGCTTTTAAGTCATCTGAGAATTTTTTAAACTCACTGATTTTCCAACAAAAGCTTTTTTTAATTTTGGTTGGGTATTTGATCTTTTTTTTAATTTGCTTTTTCCAAATGAGAAGAACAACCTAGTGACAGCTAACGACGAAACTTAGCAACTAATGCTGTAGAAGTGATGTGGGCCATGTTTTCTGATGATTTCCAGAAACTCAGGTGTTGATACATTGTAATTTGGAAGCTGCGTCTTGTGGGATCTATATCCAGCATCAACTTATTTCATAATGTATTTGATAATGAAGGCACAGGCTTACCCTTGTACTGGTAAAGGACAGCAAACACAGTCAATTTGCATTACTGACACAAAATGCACAAGCAACAATAAAGCTAGTGTCAAAACATCTCGGCATCCTTCCTTTTGCTGTACTCTTTTTGGCCATCTGCCTATTCTTCCACCTCAAAAGGAAAAAAACATACAAAATGAAGTTAATTTCAAACACAGGTTCACCTACACATTTATGTTAGTGGAAGATTTTTATCATCTGTTGCTGTACTTTTTGAGGGTCTTAGATGACAGTATTTACCTCTTCAAATGCCAGCAAATGGAAATTTACTTGAGTAATAGTAGCAGCTGACATGGTCCCTCAACTTTGCTAACGGTTTACATCACATTAAAAAAACTAGCTTTATTTCTTCCTATTTCTTGGATTACTATTGCTTGGTATTGCAATGCAGTTTTGTCACAGGTGAACAAAAAAGCCCTAGAAAAATAAGTTATCTGCTTGAGATCCCATGCCACTCACTCAGAATGTGTGGACTTTAAACTGGCAAATAATTTAAACAAGTTCTTTTTTTGTTTTAAATTACATGCCAAGAAGAAGATTCTGAGTGTCTTCTCTAGCAACTGACCTCACCAAATGCTTCTAAGTATATTAAAATCATCACCTTGCAAGACAACTTTTGTTGCAAGTGGAAGCAGCTATGATGGGAAGAAAAACAAAACCAAAACCTACAGAATCTCAAATTAAGGAAGTGGCACCTAAAAAGCCTTTTTGCTTTTTTTTTTTAATCTCTAATCTCTACTCCAAACAATAACTACCCTCACCTGCTCCCAAACAGGTTATTCAGTTTATACAATATTAACTTTTAAACATAAAGATTCATTGGCTGACTTCACATGGGCAATACTGCCAAGGACTAGACTCCATCAAGGAACACAGCAGGTGGTCAGTCGTATAACATGCCACTTTACAACTCTACAAGCCTATAACAGCAAAAAACTTGGAAATGCATCACCATATCCAAAATAATTCAAAGGTTTTAAGTATGAAATCTAGGGGGTTTTATAGTGTTGCACACATAATTAAACTTGACTTGTGCCAGTTCACGTGTTTCATATACAGTAGGTGCACTACACATAATGCTAACTGCAGGGATCCATACTTTTTGGTAGGATTGAAGGAGGTGAGATGCAGTTAATCTCACCGCAGCCCTCTGATAACGTGCCCTCACAATATGAGTCATTAATTGTATTACATGATTGGAAAACCAAAGAAAATAAACTGCTGATACTGGAAATTTGGCTCAGGACCCCAAAACAGATGGTTGGCAAAAAGGTAAAAGAAACCTCTCCCCCAACTATTTTGAACAACTGACTTCCACCACGCATTTGCAACCAAACAGTGGATAGAGAATTCATTTCCATGCTATTACATTGAGGTATAACTACCAGAAACATTAAACTATCAGTATTAGCTGATACTTATCCAGTTAATTCACTTTGCATAAGGGAAATTATTACAACACATCTAAAGGGATAGTTAAAGCTTACAGCTCAGAATTTTCTTCTTTTTTTCTCTTTTTTTTTTTTTTTTTGTTTGTTTTGTAGTATTTGATGGTATTTTTTTGTGTGTTTTATGTTTAGTTTCTTCTGTGTTACCAGCCGTAACTTCAAGGTTAATGACTTCCAAGCAGATTTGAAAGGAAGCCTGAAGACTTTTTCTTTTCCTGGGATTCTGTTTCTTGACCTTGTGAAAGTCCCAGTTCTTTCTCAATCTGCTCTAGCTCAGACTGGTCAAGCAGTTCAAAATCATCAGCTTCCTCTGTGTCTGTCTCCTCGCTCAAGCTGGGCGCTGCCTGTGAGGGAGCTTGCTGTAAGGACTGCAGCTGGTCTTTGATGGCAGCAGACACCGCAGCCGTGATGACATCGCCAGCAATTCCACTCATTAAATTAAAGGTTTGGTCACTGGTCAACGGCAAGGACAGCCCTGCAGTGGATGGTCTCTCTTTACTCTGTCTGGAAGCGTGATCCACCTTGACATCAGTTTGCTCTTTCCTTCGTTTTTGCTGGGTGGGCAAACCAATGCTGGAGTCATCGTCATCGTTTGTGCCGGCACCGTTTTCTAAAGAGGGAAACTCTAAAAGATCTCGAGCGAAAGCTTCTTCATGATCACTAGGTCGGTCAAAATCTATTACAGGGTTAACAGAGAAAACAGTGTTAGCACTCACAAAAGGTTTCCCAAAAAGGCAGCCACATGGAACAATGAGAGTAGCAAGTGTTCCTCTGAATACATTTACTAATTCCTACTCCAGTAGTTCTCTACTGGAAGGAGATTTGTGTGACACCTAAAACAAAATAGTTTTGAGGTCATAATTCTAGTGCCACAAATCCGCTCGTATCAACCTAACTATTTGAACAAAGTAACTTTTTAAAGCTAACTTTTTTAGATATGTATCTGTTATGAAACAACACATACAAATCCTCAGCAGAGCTATTTCGAAATATACCAACCACATGAAGTCCTAAAATTTATTTCTCTTCACAATATATATAAGCTACAAATATGTAAACATGTAAGGATGTGTTACAAACTTTTAATATGCATATGGAGTAATAAAAAGAATGTTTATCTGTTTAAAGAAAAAAGATATAAAACCAATGTAAAGACTAATTTCTTTTTCCTTTATTGGTCAATGCTTGTATTAAAAAGGAAACAGAAAATGGAAACTCTACAGATGATCAGAATTGTTTCATGTTGTCAAGAGAATAAAAAGAAAGATGTAATCAACATTAGATTTTAATGGCTGCATTAATGAATGGCACAAAATTTGTTATTAGAAATGTGTAAAACATACCGTGGAATACATGGCCTGTGGAAGAGGCCTAAATCAACACAAGTGAATACTTTCATCAAATATTTGAATGACAAGGTAAAAAGCTTGAACTTACTTTCTATGAAAACAAGCAATAGAAACTTGTTGTAGGAGCATTCATAAGGGTTAAGGAAATAAATTCTAAAAATGACTCATATGTCATTTTCTCCATTTTCTTTAGGAAAGACAGGCTGGGAGGGTGAGGAGGAAGGGTTGTACTGCCTGCAGAGTGGTGGCTTGAATGCACAGAGCTTTGACAGGAGATCAGCCAGTCCTTGAATGTATCCCATTAGGTCTTGCACTTCTGTGTGTGTCCCATTTGCTGAAATGCTCCATGGAGAAGAAGAGCTGATGTTATTTTTCACTTAGCAAGGCTATAAATAGAGTTTCCCACATGATCCTTACAGCCAAGCTGGTCAGCAAACAGGGTAAGGGAACTGTAAGGTGGGTGGAAAAGTGGCCAGACTGCTGGGGTCAAAGGCTTCATCAGTGACACAAGGTGCAGCTGGAGGCTGGTTACTGGTGTCTGTCACGGGGACTGGAACCAGCACTGTTCAAGGGTTTTATTAATGACTTGGGTGACGGGCTGGAGTGCACTCTGCAAGTTCATGGGCAGAAAGGAATTGCTGTGGGACAGGTGCATTTGATATTCTGGAGGTGAGGATGCCTTCAGAGGGACCTCAACAGGCTGGAGAAAGGAACAGGCTGAAAAGGAACATCGTGACATTCAGCAAAACCAAATGTGAAGTCTTGTATCTAGGATGGAATACCCTGTGCAGCAGGACAGGCCAAGGGCAACAAGAAAAGCAGCTTTCCAGAAAAAGATCTGTGGGCAGCAGGTCAGTGGTATGCCCTTGCAGCAAGGAAGGCTGACCACACACTGAGCCATAGTAGCAAAATTGAAGGCAGAAAGTCAGTGGAAGGGATTTTCCTCCTCTATTCAGCAACTGAGAGTACCCACTGAAGTACTTTGCTTGGTTTTGACCTCTCCAGTCTAGACAGACAATGGCATACAGGACTGAGCCCCCTGGAGGGCCAGCATGATTATTTAGGGGGCTAGAGAAAGGATGTATGTAGATGCTGAGAGAATGGGCTGCGTTTGGCCCAAGAGAAGGTGGCAAAGAGGGATCAGTTTAATGGCAAGGTAGAGAGAAGATGGGCCTGACTCTTCTAGAAAGTGCACAGTGAAAGGATCAGAGTAAACTGACACAAACTGGAACATGGGAAATTTTGACTCAGTGTAAGAAAAAAACTTCTTCATCATGACGGTAAGCAAATATTGAAAAAGACTTTCCAGGGAAGTTGCTGAACCTCTACCACTAGAGAGGTTCAGAATTCAAGTGGTCACAGCCCTGAGAAACTTCATAAAGCTTTAATGAAGAGCTTTCAACCTGCTTTAGACAGGAAGATAGATGAGATGAATGGCAATTGCTTTTTACAACTTACGGTTCTGTTCTCATACAACGCTATTTACAATTTGAAATATTAGGAAAATCACTGAAATTATTAATTTGGCCTGTAGTATCATCCTGCTTGTCATTTACAGGGAGCTTTTCCTAGAAGAAATGCAAGATGAGCAGAGCAACAGATCCCCAGATGAGATAACATCAAACTACTGTTGTCCTTAATCTTTATTCCAGCAAAGTGTTTACCGATAAAAAGTAAGATTTTTTTTCTGGTCAAGATCAAGCCAAGTGCTTGAGAATCTTTTCCTAGTCTAAGTCTTCATAGGCTCATTGCTGGCTGTCTTCATGTCTAGTAGTAAAACCTGATAATACTTTCTTTAATTGGCTGTTTAACAAGTCAGTGTATTCATTGTTTCTTTCTCAGCTTTTATTCGCTTAGCCTACCCACAAAGGCATTGGCAGTAATTGTAAAAGGTTTACTTGCTTGAAAGGTTTGGTAGAAGAGAGTGCTACATCTAGCACTTATTGAATGTGTTGGTTTTACCCAGTACTACTTATTTATTTGGACACTTGCTGATGTACTTTAACATTTTTAAGATGAGGCCAGTTCTTACACAAGATGTATCCAAAGCTACACAAAACACTAAGATTAACCTTAAATTAGATTCAGAGAGAAAAGTAACAACCCCAAAACCTGTCCTCAAATTGTCTAATAATTTTGAGGTAACTTTCACATCTGGAGTCCAGTGATGACATAGATGAAGCTGTTACATACCATCAGACGTGTCTGTCTGTGGAGAATACCCCTCAGATAAGTTAAAGGTCCCATTATCGGTCCAGGATACTTCTGAGACATCTGTGTCAGACACTGACAGCTCTTTGGCAACTATTGCAGGACTAACCTACATAGAAAACAGTCCCACACATGGTATTATTATATTTTAAAAAAATCACACTGCAGAAAGACAATGCTTAGAGACTGAAAAAAAACCCTCCTGTATGTCATAGCAAAATAAATCACCTCCTATTTCAGCCTTAATTGAAGAAACATGAAAATACTATACAATGCTTAGAAGTGAAACATCCCTCTTTGTAATAACTAAAGGCTGTATTATAGTAAAGAAGCATAGAAAATTCCAGTTACTGCAATAAAAGCAAAATGAGCCAGCAAATACAAAATGTGCATAATGTAACAAAATGAGTAAACTTGGACCAGAAAAAACAGCCCAATGTCTATAAGACCATCAAAAATCAGCTGAACAAAAAACCTGCTATCCGTTACCAATTTATTGAAGAATATTTAGTTATGTCAGATACAAATTTTTATTCCATGAGATAATTTTTTTTCCAGCACAAAACTACCTCCAAAGCAGTACCTGTCAAAGTCAGGCTTTATACACTACTGATCAAATACTGCCTATTCCTATACGATAATTCCTATTACGATAATAATAATAAAATATATATTATACGATAATAATAATAAAATAATATACGATAATAATAATAAAATAAAAATAATTCCTATTACGATAATTTTTAAAATACCAGCTGGTATTCTGATTATAACAGAAAAACCTTTGCCATACAGTTTTTTAGAATACTAGAAGAAAAATGAGAAATTTGAGTGTACTCATACATATCTAGAAAGATTTTATATACCTATTTGCACCATCATTGAAAATTATTAGACAAGTGATTACAAAAATATTTGACAAATTACATAGAACCACTACAGTTTCCTATTAATGTTTCCCTTTTGTATTTTAATTTGATAAAAATCAACTGCAATTTCAGTGTTGGAAATAAAAGTAACCACCTTTGCTTTTAAATATTAACACAATCATTCTACAGCCAATACAAAATAAACACATTCTTAGCTCAGTAGGCCAATGACACCATTACCTTGAAGGCCAGGAATCTGCAGTAGGTTGGTTAGTATAAGGCTAAAGGTGGAGACTATGAATCATTTCTAAAGCATACAGCTTAGTTCAGGAACACAGCCTCCTGGGGAGGGCAAAGTCTTCCACAGAAGAACAGACAGCAATCTAGATAGCGTCCCATTATCTATATAGATTTTAAAAGCAAGACAGGGCTGACTGAAAAAAAAAGTCACCTTAGGACACAGAGCTGATATGTCTAATTCACTGTCATCTTCTGTGGCTTTTGTTTTTGCTGTTTCTGAAAGAAAAAAAATATATTTTTTATTCTACTCATGACAATGGATTTCCAGGTTCAGTGTGTGTTCTCTGTCACACAGCTTGTGTACACAATAACTCTCCACCTGCTGACACAGTGCACCATTTATGTGCTATGCTACCAGGGAAACAAGCCTGACTGAGAGACTGGCTGCTTATCAAAATACAGCAACCACAGTGGGAGAAAGAATGTTATTCTGAATACATTCCAGTAGATCTATTTACCCGCATTGAACTTCCTTCAGGATCTCAGTTGCTCACTAGAAAATCATCTGCCCTGGCAAATAGGTATCTCTCTTTTAGACTACACTGCTGGTAAAATGCACAGGTGTAACATGTTGTTAGAACAGGCTGTGTGGTTATCCCACCACATTACTTTTACATGAGAACGTGCAATTTGCTTGATAATTGCATGTATGCTTGATAATTGCATGTAATCTTCATCTACAAACCCCTGCTTCTACCAGCACCCAGCTACTCTGCATTCACAGTCATATGCAAATATGCATACAAAGCATCCTCTGAAGTCTGGCAGAATGTTGCTCTTTACAGATAAGCAGAGATACAAATTTTGCCTCCTCTGTCTGAGAATCTTTTAAACCAATATAAAATGAAAAACACAGCCAAAGTGCCCTTGGTTGCTTCCTCCTGCAACTTGCTCTTTCCTCTCTTGTGCCAACACAAGGTTTGTGAGCCCATGTGGTGAACCCAAGAAGCAAAGCAAAGTAGGGAACTTGTCTGTGATAAATTGAACTGGAGGATGAAATGCAGGAAAGAACACATATACCCTCAACCATTTTCCCAGTGCTGGCTTATGAAGTTTATTAAACTATAGTCTGATCCTTATCTCTGCCAGTTTCACTTAAAAACTGAACAGGTAGAATAACGCATGAAAGAAAATTTCCAGTGCATTATTCCTTATCTTCAATTACTATCACATTAAATGTAAGAGAAGGGGAAAAGACACATGGTGGTTCTCCTTGGGTCTGGGAACAGCACATTGTACAATGAATTGTAAAATGGTTACAAGAAATGCATGTTTTAAAGCAGATATTAAGTCTACTGATGTAGCACTAATTTAAAAGGGTAGAATACCTGCAAGTAGTGTGACTACACTGCAAAAGTTTAATTACCAAAACTGGAGCATGCAGAAGAAACAAACTAACACTGTTCATATACAGATTTTCCTTGAAATAGCTTTATTGCTTAAAATCTAAAAGTTTCCAGTATTAGAAAGATATTGGGTGAGATAGGCAAGATTTTGTTTAAAATGGATTCCTATCCTTTCCACATAGAAATTTGGATTAATTTGTAGCTGCTATCCTGTGGCAATTCTTATATGCTTTTGGAGTATTTGGAGAAGAAAACATTTTTTTTTTTTTGCTGGAAGAAGTGAAACCAAGGCAAATTTAGATACAGGAACAGAGTTTTGTCTCTTACTGAAAATTCTGTTGTGTACTTATTTTGAGACTCTTGAGTGACTCTCTCTACTGGGAAAGTTTGCGTTATCTGAAGAGAGATAAGCATTGCAAGCTTACAACAAGTATTTTCTTTTCTGAAAACCTACAAGCAGTACATCTAATCACATACAAAGAGCTTGCCTTGTTTCTTTCCATGAAGTAATAATTTCTTTCTTATCAAACCTAGACATTTGACATACATTGTCACTCCTTATAAAGCTAATAACAGTAGCCGGGTTCAAAGCAAGAAATGAAGAAATGTCTCTACGGTTGACGTCTCAGGACAAACCAAACTTTCTGCAAAGTGAATGAAATGCTCTGCATACAGAAACACAATAATATTATATAATGATATATGGGACTATAATTAACTACTCACCAGATCTCTCTTTTTTCTTCTGGTTGATATATTCCACTATTCCAAAATCTACTTTCATCAAAACAGCCTTTATTTTGCTGCACAGTTTCTGTCCAAATTCATTGCACTTAAGGAAGGGACATAAAAAGGCACACAATACTGTGATAAAAATGAAGACAGAGAAAAAAATTGTATTGAAATATTGCTGTACAAGAAGCTACTCAAAAAATTTAAACAATGTCTTTGCATAAGATAACTACTAACTTTACATAATACAGTTAGTTTTATATAAAAATGCATTGTGGGATGCCCATGTCAGACACTTTTAAGGTAAAATCCAGTTTTGAGAAGCCATTCCTACTCATCACAGAACAGACCATTATATTCATACCAATTGACATATTTTTGACTATCAGTAAGACACAATTTATGGTCATTATAACATCCATCATTACCTTAACTTAGTCTGATTTTGATATCTCGACTTTGACAGAAGTGACTATGTAACATTGTGCCAGAACCAACACACTGAAAACACTTGTAAGCTGACTTCTGAATGACAAAAAACTGCAAACAAATTCTTTCTTATATCTAACCTAAATTGACTCTCCTTCAGTTTAAAACCATCACCTCTTGTGCTATTGCAGCAGGCACTGCTCAGATGTTTGTCCCCAGCTTTCTTGAAAGCCCTCCTTAGGAACTGGAAGGCCACTCCCCAGTGTTCTCTTCTCCAGGCTGAACATCCCCAGCTTGCTTACTTTTCACAGGAGAGGTGCTAGGGCCCTCTGATAATCTCCATGTCCCCTCCTTTGGCTCTCTGGGCTGTGAGTGTCCATGGCTGGGTCATGTCCAGCCTCACCAGCACCCCCAAATCCTTCTGGGCAGGGCTGCTCTGGATCTGTTCATCCTTCAGCATGGGTTGATACCAGGATTTACCCTGATCCAGGAGCAGCACCTTGCACTTGGTCTAGCTACACCTCATGAGGTTCTCATGGGCCCACTTCTGGAGCTTGTCCAGGTCCCTCTGGATGCCGTCCTGTCCCTCAAACTTGTCAGCTGCACCACAGAGATTGGTGTCTTCTGCAGACTTGCACGAGTGTGTAAACAGGTACATAAACAAATAAATAAACAGTCCCTACACAGAGACCAAATAACGAACAGTACACACATACACAAATCATGACTGGAAAAGAGACCATACTTACACAAGACATAGGAGAGGACAACTCCAGGAATGTAACTTCCCAAGACAGTGAAAAATGTACATATGCTGCAGACTAGTAGGCAAAACTGGCAAAAACATTAAAATACACCATTAACACTTTCACTGAAATGATTTGATCATTTTGCAAAGGAAGATGTTGCATGCTAATGAAATCTAGAATGTAGTGCAAAATTGAAGCTTGTTTTTTAAAACTGGGAATTACCTTTAACACTTCTGGTGAAAATAAGCATCAAACAGTCAATTTCAGATAATTAGGGATGCATCCTCTCTTCTACCATAAAAACATGCTATTTTTATTCATTTATTGTAAAGCTTTAACAAGCTCATGTTTATTGATAATATTACTAGAAATTATACCTTCATTGCATGAAAATAGGCTGGGCAATTTATATGCAGGAAAAAACCCAACTCACTAATTGCAATACTACAGTGCATGCTTGCTGCATGTTTACAAAAGCAAAACATCCTTCCTCCAGCTACAGCTCTCTCCCCTGTTGTGTTACTTTGTGAAACTGTTTTCTCTCATATGCTGGCAAACAATCTCTTGATGCTTGTTGGCTGCTCTAATACCCCTGTTAATGACACAGCCAAATTTTCAACATAAAATTTGAGATTTGGCCTTTGTGGTGACTGAGACATAACAGTGCATTTTTCACCACTGCACAGTGCTCAACTGACCTGTTGAAACTTTGCAGAAAGGATGCATTTGCTTTTGGAGCTGAATTGCAATAAAATGGTTAATTCAAAGAAATTTTGCACACAGCATTACTGCCTAATTTGCTTCTAATTATGGCAGTAAAATAATGGCATGGCTTAGAGAATGAGGTCAGGGAAAAGAAGGAAAAACATGCTATCAACATTGTATTTTCTAAATTAGTATTAGATATCTCTTAACATACAGTTACGGTCATGTCACCACAATACTGATACCACATTTCTTTATTTCAGTATGAACTTCTTTTAAATATAACTTTATTGTCCAGACATACAACTGCTCTTTATATAATTTATTAATTTTTTCTCCATAATTTTCATTCTCCTATAATTTTCTTCTTTTTTCATCCAGCTGCTCATCTGTATTTTCAATCTTAACTGCTAATATTTGAGTGTGGTACTACATACTTTCTATTTGCTAATTCTGAATGGCTTGTTTTTAGGAAAGACTTTCTGGCAAATTAAGAGAGATTAAAAGAGGAGAAGAAGTCCTGTAGTCTTCTTTTAACTTGAATTTAGCAATAAAAACATAAAAATGTCATCTATTGTTATCATAATATACATTTACTTATTTATATTTCTCTTTGGGGAAAAAAAAAAAAAACTGCTTCATGTTTTACTAGAACTAAATAATGGTATCCTTCCAACTTGGAGGAAAAAAAGCCTTACTTTTGCTTGCCTCTTCATGAGCTGATGAGCTGGGTTCTCCAGCTCAGTCTTTCCAGTAAAAAAAGGGAAAATCACCAACTATTGGTGTATAGATGAAAAATTGCCACAATAAAGTATGAGGAACTCTCTTCATGCAGCTATTCCTGAAAACTGCAGTTATTAAAGAAAATAAAATGTTTGTGTTTAAGAACATGCCTGTTTACTTCTTTGCTTTTTCAATTTTTATTAAATTGTAGTTAAATTGTAGTGTTTTAAATTTCCTTTAAAAAGTTCACGGAATAACTGGTGAAGTTCTAATAGCTGGAACTATTGCTATAAAAAGTATAAACTGTATTGCTATAAAGTTTACTGTGAACAGCTTTTCCCACTGATTACCTACCCATGTTCTTCACAGAAAAAAAAAAATTAGCAGAAACTCATGACTGAATGTGTCAGAATGTACATTTTTCTCCTTTTTTTTTTTTTTTTGCTTGTTCATTTGGTTTTTTTTTTCTAAATCTATCTCACCTTTTGATTAAATCATATAGAACCGTTAGTCATATTGGGGAGTGCTTACCTTGCCAGGGTTTTGTTCCTTAAAGTGGGACATTTCTTGAAGAAATACAAATAAATTCATCAGTGTTTCTGAAATGCACTGATTTATTCTGAGTCTGTAGTCTTGACTGGAATCGGTGACTTTCCAGCTGAATAAAACAAACAAAACAAAAATACCCGACTTTGTTTACAGCTCATATGGAAGTTGAAACTGGTTGAAAACATCATGTAAAATGGCTGTTGCTATGTTAGAGACACCTGGGCTTGTTTCTTTGTATTTTATATTGAGCTAATTTGATCTTTTAAACTAAAAAATATTAATCTGTTCAGTAGTAGCAGTTTTCAGTCCATAAAAAATTACTGCTTATTCATTCTTGTCATATGAAGACATTGTGTTGAAGGCACAGTTGTCATCCAAATCAAGCAACTGACCCCAAACTTGTTTTTAAACACTATTTTTTCTTTTAAAAAATACCACAGTACTTTTTATTGCCACAAGATGGCCACACATATTAATAAATTTCATTTTATGTATTTAATCCTTGTGCTTTTTCTTTTCTATTTTTTATTTTGTTCTGCAAACTATGATGATGAAATTGCTACCCAACATAGAGAAAAAGAAACTGCTCTTGGAGTCTTGATGTTTACATTAATTTTCCTAGTGAATTTAAGTTTTTCTATTATACTGAAAAGACTGTTTCTAAAGCTTATCTTATGACTGTTCAGTGCTTTTAATAAAATAACACCCCTCCCCCCCCAAAAAAAACCTGCACCAAAGAATTTTTGGAAAACCATGGGACAGCGGCATATGTGTCTATCACATTTGGGGCTGATCAGTTAATCCAATATTGAGCTTAAATGGTCACATCATATACCTTTGTGGAGTAAACAGAGCCTCTACAACAAAGCTGGTTTAAGAAACAACAAATAATAATAAAGACATGCCAGTCAATGTCAAGTCAAACTGGTACAAAGAATGGACAAACCGCTGTACAAACACTGAGAATCTGAAGTCAATTCTACACCAGCTTTACTGAGTTAGCTTTCACATAACACTGCTGAGTACACACAGCTTTGATCACAGCGAATGCAAGCCAGCCATCAGCAACTCTGGTCATTTCACTGAGATATATAACCCATTACATGACTAATGCATTAGCAGTAAACATTTTGTCACAAGTAGATCGAATTGCAAGATAAATAATCTACATTGTGAAAAAATGGCTGTAGACAGGTCGGTGCACAGCCATCGGGGGACACACAGGCGGTCAGAGCTAACTCCCGACTGCTATCAGCTGCACACGGTCGCTTTTGTAAAAAGGCACGATTTCGGTCAAAAATGCTCCGCGGAGACCCGTCCCTGCCTCCCGGCTGTCCCCGTTCGCCACGAGGTGGTGGCACAGCCGCGGGGACCAGCCAGGGACGGGAGGGGCGGAGGGGACACGGCAGGGACACAGCCACACTGACCGGCGGGGACACAGCCACACTGACCGGTGGGGACACAGCCACACTGACCGGCGGGGACACAGCCACACTGCCCGGCAGGGACACAGCCACACTGACCGGCGGGGACACAGCCACACTGACCGGCGGGGACACAGCCACACTGCCCGGCAGGGACACAGCCACACTGACCGGCGGGGACACAGCCACACTGACCGGCGGGGACACAGCCACACTGCCCGGCAGGGACACAGCCACACTGCTCGGTGGGGACATGGCCACACTGCCCGGTGGGGACACGGCCACACTGCCCCGTGGGGACACAGCCACACTGCCCCGTGGGGACACAGCCACACTGCTCGGTGGGGACACGGCCACACTGCCCCGTGGGGACATGGCCACACTGCCCCGTGGGGACACGGCCACACTGCCCGGCAGGGACACGACCAGACTGCCCGGGCACCGCCACCTGCATGGAGCAGCGGTTTCGGCCATGGGGTAAAGCTCATTGAGGTCCGAACCCCAAAAGTGGTGCCCTATTCCTGGCTGCATTGTAGTACTTATGGTGTTGCAGTGGTGTGATTTCCTCTTACACTACAAAATAGTCAGGGTGAGGGGCTTTTCCTTCCCTTTGAGGAAAACAAACATTGAACTATTTAAAACAGCACACCTGAAATGCATAGGATAAGAGCCCTGTGTCTTGGACTAGGTGACTTTGGCAATTTCCCAGCCATTCAAGGCACTGAATGCAGATATTTGTCTGTGACAGAGGGTGCAAATAAAACCATAACATAACTCATAGAGATCACTGCAGGAACCCAGCTGGAGGGATGAGCAATGTTACACAGAACTGTCTGCATCCCACCCACAGTAGAGATTTCAATTTCCATCATCTCTGATAATTAGTGGCTTCAAGAAAGTATTATACACACATTTTGGCCTACAGGAACTGCAATTTTTATGGATAGGCTACTTCCCCTAAAGAAACACTGCTTCCAGCTTCTATAAACCATTCTACAGCATTAATGAGTATTTTAAGAGCTGCCCATTTATTCCATTACTGAAAACTACTATTATGACAGTGCTCTGAATAATAAAATCCTTTTACAGACTTTTACTCCTACCCTTTATTTGAAATTGTTGACAATCAAAGTAGAACTTTGTGGAAGCACAAAGCAAAAATGAACAGGCTTGATACCTACTATCAAATTAGTGTCTTGAAATAACTAGGACAACTGTAGATACTCACTTTAAAAATTTTAAGCTGATAGCAAAAGCAGAGGGGGGGAAAATACAAAAGCAGAAAGTACAATAAAAATGCAAACTATTTTCACCATTAATATAAAGACAATATAGATAAAAGAGAAGAAGCTATAACAAGTCACAATCATAACTCATAAAATGTGCACTTTTTCATCTTAATGATGAAAAAGTGCACATTTGCCGGGCAAGTTCTCTGCAGTTGCCTTGCTTGGTGATAGTGATGCTTTCTTTGACAAAGTTTTTGAAAGCATGAGCTGCAGTGCAGATAAAAGATCTTGCTATATGCTTTGGCCCTGTGGTACACATGCGGTGCATGGACAAGACAAGCAAGAGGAGTGGATGAGTGGATGGTATAGGTGAAATTTGCTTCAAAACTTTGCAAACACACTACTGAACTCCACAAAAGAGTACTTGGCAGTCGCTTCTAGGCCACAAGAAATCATAAGACACCTTTGTTAGTTCTATAATAGCTACAATTTTCTATTTTACAAGGAACACCAGGGACTATTGGGAAGCCTTACTCTCATCTTAGGCAATTAGAGGTGTAAGAAAGTCAGCTTGCTGATCTTCTGTGTGACCACCAGATGCACGTGCTGCCTCTAATTGTTCATACCTCCCAACAACCACCAGCCTTGGTGATATCTATCTTTCCTGTCTTTTTACCCTGAGCCAACCTAAATAGCAGTGTTACCCACAGTCCAGAGGGCTGGGACAAAGGGGAAGCAACAGATCCTGGTGAAGGGAAGTGAGAAAGAAAGGAGGTACATCATATAGTTGTATGTACAACATATAATGTATGTACACAAAGGGAGGTTATGTCATGGCCCTGTAAAAACAAAGGTAACTATGAAACTTGCATGAGATCAGAAGGAAAAAGGCACATGATGATGCATACTCCAGAGAAATTAATTTTCCAATGGTCACATTGAAAGATAAAAAAGGAAAAAGAAGACACGTGAAGTGATGTAGATGATGAATGTGGAGTGCCTGACTATGACATAAGTCAACCAAGAATATAAATCTATTTCAGCATAATATTAGTGCATTACTTAAATGTGAACCCTATACTTGCTGCCAAAACAGCTTTGGGGACTGCTGTCCAGGTGCTCCTTTGGGGATAAGCAGCCAACTTTGAATACTTTCAAAGGCTTTTGTGGGTCATTTAGAAAGAATAATAGTTTATGCTCCCATCACTTATTCTTAGTTTGATATGCAGTGCTACACTTCCATTCCAAAACTACCATCAATAAGGTTGAGGGTGTTCAGAAAAAATAAAGTACTCACATCCTTCTGATTGCCTATTGCATCATTTCTATAACTGAGCAAGTATATAAACTGTTGCCTAGTAATTGTAAAAAAAACTGACCCAAAACACTCTACCACCCAGAGGCTTTCACTGATGACAGTCACAAACCCTGGCCAGAAGAGACAGTGGCATTATGTTTGCTAAAAATGACTGATGGTGTCATGCTCCCATTTCATAGCTAGACATCTGTTCAAGCAAAGCCCCATCACATTTCTCTCAGAAAGGTCAGCAGATCTCATGTTACTGGTTTAAAGATCTCTTCGTGATGTGCTGGATTTTTTTGAATTATGTGCACACACTTTTCTACGTATCTTCATGCAGATATGCTACTCAGAACTGCAGCAGGGACAGGAGAACACCATGATGTGGTGGATCAGAAGGACTGCACCCACATAAACATAGAGTTTGTAATTATAGAGCTTCTAAACCCTCCTGATTTCCCAGCTGTAACCACACACATTTGAAGCCTGTGCACTCTGTAATTTTCAGGGTAACTTGGAATGTAGTAGTCAAGGTGGAAGAACTGAAAGTTACATTCCTGAAGATATGTAAATCAAAATGTAGGTAATATTGCTTTTTGGTAGTTTTTTAAAAGGTAATACGTAGAACCTATAGGATGGTGCAACTGTAAGGGACCTGCATATCAAAGGACAAACAGGCAACCAGGAGTTCATAATGAAACTCAAATGAAATCCAGGCTGTAAACTGCTGGCAAATCCCAATCAAGCAGGTCTACCTTTTCAGAGCTTTCACAGGTTTCTGCTGTAAGAAAGAAGTCACTGCAGTGCAGAAGGAAATGATTATAATGATACAGTTTTTCTCTGAAGCAAACATTTTATACCTGAAGACTTAGGCACAAAAAGTAGGTTTTAAAATTTTTCTTCTAAATTATTAAGGTACAGAGATAAGGGATTTAAAATAGTATCTAGACTAAAAAGGTTTGTGTAAATTTTTTATTTTATATAGCAATTTCAGGACATATACTGCAAATGAAAATAAACACCCCTTTTTCTTTCCAAAATATAAAACTGTTAAAAAGAAATTTCACAGTTAAGTATATTAAAATACCAATGGCAAAACCTCTAAAAGCTACTATTGAACTTTGTTGGAACACAATGCACTATTGATTAGACTTAT